AAAGAGAAGAAAACTAACTTTTTGCAATTTAAAAGGTTATACATTTTCCCCTGAGTAGTTTTTTTTTTAATTAAAATATCATTTGCAGTATGAGGTACATTGTAAGAACAGTATTTATTTATTATGATTTTACATGGCAAAATAAAATCTTCCATCTTCTGACATCATTTCTACAGGGCTAAGTATGTGGATATGAATCCTTTATGATTATAAAATGGCTTAGTGCTTCATTGTTCTTCACTCAACCAAGTCCATTTTGTTCAAAGGAATAGTGTTTGGAGGACACTGATTTGTTGTGTAATTGCACAATTTTCTAACTCATCTACTTACATTGGAGGTGATATGGCCTTCTGTGGGGCAAAGGTGAAAGAAAATGCTATTTTATATCCAACTTGACAAGATGTGTACTTATTAAAGATTCTCAATTTCAAAGAAAAATAAATGAACATGTCAGAAATAACCTCATATGATTAGCCAACATTACCTGAAATAGTAAACTGAATGTAACAGTTTTTTGATAAGTATTTTAAAGCATTTTTTATTCTTACCTAATGAGGATATAGACCCATTTATCAAATGAGAAAACAGATTGTGAAAGTTTCAAAACCAAAGGTAGTAGATGATAAAGCAGGACTTGAGTTCATGGTTGTTGAACTGCATAACCCAAGTTCTTTACATTACTAAATAATTTTAAAAGATACTTCAGTTCTTTTGAATCTTGTTTATAAGAAAAGTATCAATAACAATTCCTTTAAATTGGATGAATAGTAAAAAATACAATGCTTACACTTATTTCATCTGTCAGCACTGATCTGCCCTTTATCCATACAATGAAAATCATAACCAAATAATGCCAATGGGACAGCTGATCTAAAGGTGAGTGGCTAATTCAAAGAGCACACAAGTAAGGGGGACTGTCTTTCTTCAAGATACTGGTTACATGAAACAGAACATCTAGTCACAGGATCAATGTTAGGGCATTTGGGTATTTTCAAAAGATTGGATAAGAATGATCCAATTGCATTGTGAGTTTATTATTTTAAAGTAACCCATATGATCTCACTTTTAACAGGAAGCTAAATAACAAAACAAACAAGCAAGCAGAAAAAAAAAAGACACTGAAATAGAGAACAAGGGGATAGTGACCAGTGGGGAGAAGGAAGGGAAGTTAAGGGGAAAAAGGGGGAGGGATTTGGAGGAACAAATAGGAAGGACACAGGGACGAGAACTAAGGGGGTGGAAATGGGAGGGAGGTGGGGAGCAAGGGGCGGGGGAGGCTGGGATGGGAAAAATAGACAAAAAACTGTACTTGAAAAATAACTAAATAAAATTAATTTAAACAAAAAAAGAATATATAATGATTTAGATAATTTGTGAAATAAAATCAAGTAGAAAAGAAGGCTATAAGAGAGAATAAAAAAATAAATAAATAAAGTAACCCACAGATTCCTGAATTTGTTGTTCCTACATTTATTTTTATATTATTATTTTTTATAAATGCTATAATTAGGAGTGAATTGTTTTATGTTTTAATAGGAGAGTAAAAAAAGAAGATATAGACCTCATAAAAAGCTGGCTCAGATCACAAGCTAAATGGCAACACTTTTAGCCAAACCAATGTGGCCAATGTCTGTGGAGAATTCATTACTTCCTCCAACAGGTTAAGATATATGTTTACTTTCTTAATATGCCATGCTCTAGGAAAGTATAATATATTGCAATTCTTATAAATTATAACTAGAAAACTAACAGTAAGTGTATCTTCCTGAAGGTCTCAAATTTTCCTGTGGAGTAATTATTCAGTTCTATTGTCACCATTTTTACTTCTTAGCTTAAAAGAACGGTTTCAAAAAGCTTATGTTTAACTTTATCAGAAATAACTCAGTGGCAAATATAGTGAAACATTTTAATAAACAAAGTTTTTTAAATTAAACATTGTTTAGGCAAACTGACAAAGGACTTTGTCCTTTAACACTGTAGCTTCTCTCTGCTAATGAAAGGCTCTGCTAAGAATAACCCTGAAGAAAACATTAGCCTTTGATAGAGATAAGCATTTACAATTCTTACCCCAATGTGCTCAGCAGTTTTTTCTTTATTATAATGCAAACTAGATCCCTAGAGATCTTAAAAGTGAATTGCCTTTAGTATGAACGAATTTGCCCACTTCTTCCTTGCTTTCTTTCTACTTTTACTCCATATAATCATCACAGAGAAAAAACATTTTGAGCCTCTACTCTGAGTCAGGTACCTCATACATAATGAGCTTTCTAAGACTGATTGTGATTTTTTTCTGAAGATAGATATATCAAGGCTTTGAGCAGCTGGCCAAAATTATAAAATGATGGTTAGTTAGATAGTAGTTGAAAATGTGAATTGAGTATTTTTGTAAAGGCAAGTAGGTGTGGATTGCTCTTCTTTTTAAGAACTGTATTTTCTTCACTTCATAAGTTAAATATGACAAATGTCTTACCACTATGCTATATACCTGTAACTCATGTAACATGGAATGTCAATTGTAATTGAAAAACTAAAAACCATTTTTAAAAGAAATGTATTTGCTGCCTTAGGAATATCTGACCAACACTTCTGATAACATATTTAAATATTTAGATATATATCCATAAAGTAATAAAGACTAAAATTAACTTGGAAAAACCCATTGCTCATTAGAACTCAGTTTTCTTGGTTAAACATGGTTCCCCAGACAGATCATTATTATAATTTTAGCTAACTCTTTTTTGTGAGCCAGTAAAACTATGTATAGTATAAGAATGAGCCCTGGCTGGTATGGCTCAGTGGATTGAGTGACAACCTGTGAACTGAAGGGTAGCTGGTTAGATTCCCAGTCAGGGCACATGCCTGGGCTGTGGCCCAGGTCCCCAGTGTATGAGAGGCAACTGATGGATGTACATCTCTCTCTCCCTTCCCCCTTCTCTAAAAATAAATAAATAAAATCCCTTTTAAAAGCTAAAGGAATGATGCACACTGGGCTCTTAGAAATAAGACAACATTGCCCCGACTGGTGTGGCTCAGTGGACTGAGTGCCGGCCTGTGGACCAAAGATAACATAGAAAGCATTTTCATCTAAAAATAAGAAAATAAACAAAACAACAACAGCAACAAAACTATCATGAGACACCCAAGTCAATGAACCTTGATGATTCTTTTGAAAACTTCACTTTTCTGTATGGTTTTGCGCAATAGGCGTGGGCCTTTTTCATGATAGACAGTTGGACAATTCTAATGATTTTATCAGAGCCAAGCTTTGTGGACCATTTATCATGCAAATAGTAAAACTATTTACGGAAAAATAAAATTAAGTAAAGGGCCTGGACAAGTCTTTGTTCTTCAAAAACATTAGCCTTTCGTCATTGATAATATGTGGTGGGAGTAATCATGAAGTCTTTCAACCTTGTTCAGAGGCAAAGTGAAATTTAACTTGCACCACTTTTCTTGGAACTCAGCCATTTTAGTAATGTCAGAAAAATTTACCACTAGTGTGTCCATCAAATGATGATTCTTTTGTTCAGACAGTTCCAACCTCATTGTTTTTTCTGCCTAAACCCATAATGCACATAATCTCTAGATACTTATAGAAGTTTCTTTTGAATTGGTAGTAATCTAATCTCCCTGGTAACGATTACACAAGTCAAAAGAAAACAAACCCACCATCAGCAGAGTACCAGACTCACATGAACAGGAACCATGCATGTCTTTCTCATTCCTTTCTTCCCAGGGCCTAGGAAAGATCCGACCCATTGTGGGCTCTCAATATATTTGAGGAACGAATGAATGAATCTAGTGGAATTATCTTATAGTCTTTTCACAACCTTTCTATATGCTTTCTATACATTTATTTGGGTTTCAAAAAGCTATGCAATGCATGTCAATACTGAGGAAACTAGTTTGGTTTTCAGTTATTACTTAACATGTTTTATGTTTTCCTGGGTCTGTTTATTTAATTTATTTCAACCATAGAAGTTAGTGGCATTTTTTCCCTGCAAAATCCTACTGGAAAGCATTTTTTGAATAAATATAGGGTTTCTGAAAAATGTCCCACTATGCTATGGGTTTCTTCCACAAGGAAATACACCATGGTAGAATCATTCATTGGGGACATTTTTCTTTTTCCTTTCCAATAACAAAATGTACCAAAAGAAAAGAAGACAATGAATCAGTTGCCATGTAAACTAAATTCATTCCCATTTGGCCCATGTGCTGGGACTTACAAACTTCTAGAGATTTATCTTCAGAGTGTGTTGCTCTTGAAATTCCCAGGCCAAGTTTTTCTTGAAAGATGATAAATCAAGCTGTACTTACAATGTTGGGCTCAATACATGTGCTCTGTGAGTATACTGAATATGTACACCATGCCTTATAAAGAGTTAGTATGAAACTTTTTAAAGAATATAAACAGCTAGAATACAAAATATCAACAATGAGGGCAAAGATAAGACCCAGAGATTAAGGGAGTATTTTGGTATTTGAAAGATAATTTTTTTTATTTTCAAAGTTCACTTATTTTGCTTCTGATAACTCTGCATACTTTACAGTTGAATAATCTTTGAACTCTGTTGTCTGGACTAAGTCAAGAATAAGGAGATTGCTCATGTGTTCTTACTATCTAAGGTTGCATTAAAAAATCATCAAATTAAAATAAAGTGTCACTCTGTAATCACAGAATGTAAGATGTTGTTTTGTTTAAAATTGTACTTTATAGGAGGGGGACCATGAGGCTGAAAAAAAGTTTTTTAAAGTGATATGTTCAAGATTGCAAAGTGATGGAGCTGTGGTTTATAGAAAAGGAAAAAGAAAAAAAGTCTCTTAACCTTTAAGCTCTTTCTTTCTATCCCACTTTGCTTCCTTTACTTCTCATTAGGTGGCACTGTCTCTCACATTTCGAAATGCAGAGATTAAAACTGAAAGTGCTAACTTCCCAGGGAAGCCATTCCCAGAATACAACAAAGAAGGTAGGTAAAAAGAGCCTGCACTCCACTCACCCAAATCAGAACACTGGACAACTCGAAGGTGGCACTGGCAGCGGAAGGGACAGACGGGTCCCATGGGCTCTATATCAGGGCCATCAGGAGGGTGATCATCAAAGCCTGCACCGGAAGCCTCATCTGCTGGCAAGAGCTCAGAAAAGTCAAATATGCTTCGCTGTTGAAACGGTCCAGCCCAGGAAACTTGAGCAAGCAGGAGGAAGATGAGAGTTGCCTTCATGATTTATTTCATGTATGTTCACAACCAAAGAACCTAGGAAACAAACAAAAGGTTTAAAAGAGTAGTGTTGCCTAGTTTGTAACACCTCATAGCAGAGCAAGTGAACATAGAGAAAAGTTCTATGTGTATAACTTAAATTATATATATATATATATATATATATAATTTATTGTTAGGAAGCAGAGCATTAGAAATGTATTTAAAAGGTGATAAGGTACATTATAGATTAATTTTCACGGCTATTTATTTATGAAGTAAAATTTGAATATTATTTAAATCTTCTTTTTTGGGGTGTTGGATCTGAAGTAAGACAACATCTATATTCACATTATTTACAAAATTGTTACGGATAAATCATGTCGGAATTCTCAGTGCTCACTCAACATGAGCCATGCCACAGTCAAATAAGTTTTATATATACACTTCAGAGATTTTTGATTCCTGCTTCAGAAATACCTCTGGAAGCCAATCTCATCTCTGCATCCTACGGTGTTTATCTTGGTCCAGGCTCTTCTCATCTCCTGAAACTATGGTAAAAGCTACCAAATGGTATCTGCCTTGAATATCCTCTCTACACCAGGCCATATTGCACTCTGCTGCTCTAGTCATCTTCTGAAAATTCGATTTAATTATATTCCTCTTCTACTGGAAACCCTTTGGTAACCTCCATGGCTTGCCAATAAGGTCTACGTCCCCTGTGGTGCATGTAAGGCCATTCATAATTTGGAACCAGCTGATATTCTAGCCACTTCTCTCCATTTGCTCTTCACTCCCAGTCCCCACCTCAATCCTGACCCTCAAAGCTAATTGCTACTTAAAGTACCTACCTTGTAAAAGGGTTGTAAAGATTAAGTGAGATAATGGACTTGCCCTGTGTTCCCCCTGGCTCATGCAGTCAGGACGCTGCTTTCTCCCTCTTCTGTGCTCCCAAAGCTTGCTGCTGTGACTTCTTTTAAAGAACTTACCACACTTTATTGTAATTTGTTTTGCGTGCTTGGTCTGCTTGGGAACCCCCTCTAGAAGATGCACTCCTTCAGGGCGTGCCTTATTATTTTTTGTTTTCTACCCAGCCTTGCACAATATTTTGCACATAAATGACTCAATTAACCATCACTTTATTAACATAAGTTATTCAATGTGTGCTAAGCAAGCAGTCTGATTTTTTTAAGCACAAATTATATTTTTTCCATATCAAATTGCTAGCATAGGAATACCTCAATTTGGTATAAGCAAGACTAATTTAAATATTTACCTTGGATAGTTTCTCACACTGATCATTTCAAATGAATCAATAAACACCTATGGAAAACCCTAACTGATTTTTATATAATATACAGGACTTTATTTTACCTATAAGGCTATCTGTAAACAAACAAAAAGTACACTTTTGACAAATCCATACAATATTTATCAATTCACTCATTAAACACTTATATACATCTATGTTGCTAAATTGGTGTTTAGTTGGTTGAAGTAAACTAAATAGAATTGACTAACTAAATTTCACTAAACTGAGTAACAAAAATTAGTTGATCATGTAGAGAGCAAGGAGTCTACTTCTGAATTGATACATTAAAAACCACACTGAAACTGTTCTGAGTATTCCAGAAGTATACTGCATATATTATCTTTGGTCCCTTCACCTCTGTTTTGAATTTCACATGTATAAGAATCCAAATTAAAGCTGCACATTTATATACAGAATTAAATAATTGGTCAGAGGCATTATCTAATTGTAGCACAAACAAACAAACAAAAAAATCTTCGTATGCCCTAACCCTAATGTACCTTCAGGAAATTTTTGCCTAGATCCGCTAGAGCACAAATAGATATTTTTTCAATTTTTATACTTTTGTTTCTTAGTTTATATTTATTCCAGAGGTATATGTAATGCACATATAAAATATGGGCTTGTAGGTTTTATTTAAAAATACTACTAAGATGGTTATTCACGCTGCCCCTTTAAGTCCAGGGGCCCTTCCCCACTCAGTTGCTGCAGGGCCTCTCAACGGAGACCCTATTGTGTTGGCAGTGTGCCCTTGGATCTAAGGGAAGGGTTTCATGTCTGTTTCACATTAAAATGCAAAGTTTATGGTTTACCGCAAGTCTGCTAGCCTTGCATATTTAATGTCTCACAATTTTTAGAAGAAAAATGTAGCAAAGTAATTGCAGATTTAATAAATAGCATCTAGAATTAATGCAGATGTCACTTTTTGATCTTTTCTTCAGAACACCAAGTGCCTGGTTGTTTCACAAACCCACAAAAGGAAATGTTGAGCTATGCGTTCAAGGAAATATTATCATTTATACTTATTTACTCTTGTTAAAATGGTGCAAGTTCTCTACACAAAATTCTTTTTGGTTGAATCTGAATGCAAACAGGCAGCTTATAGGTGCCATTCCTTCAGTGTGTGTGTGTGTGTGTGTGTGTGTGTGTGTGTGTGTGTGTGTGTGTATTTTAAACCTGGTGGTTCTGGGGAATAAAAACTAGCATGTCCAGGAACTTCACACTGATTCCTCCACAAACTTCTTTTAAATTGGTGCCATAATACTTGAAGATTCAGCATCTTAAAACAATGAATATAGGCAGTTGATACTAATGATTTCTTTAATCATCTCCTTCCTTCCTGAAGAAATCAGAAAAATAAACAAAAAGCAACAGCTGCCCATACAGAGACCAGGCAGCCTATTACTGAGATCATGGTTTGTTTTTTTTCTAATTTGATTAAGCTGTTTTAAGTACTCTTTAAATGTATGACTTTTTCCTAAATGCTAATTGCTAAGAATAATGTCACTACTTCACTAAAGCATCTTGCCACAGTTTATAAGTATTTTAGCAAAAATAACAATCTCTGGTTCCTTAAACTACTTCAGCCCACTAAATTAATTTTTTAATTCAGATCAACATTTGTGTGATGTCATTTCTGACTTTGGAGTGACTTTCAAAGCCAAAATTTAACCTTCAGGAGACAAATGAAGCTATAAATGCAGAGCAAAATTAAAATACCCCAGTCCTAGGTAAATTTTAAAAACCTCAATAATAAAATAAATAAATTAAAAATAAACAATACAACTGTATTTATCCATAAATAAGAGCTACTAGAGGAGGCATTTGGTTCTTTTTCTGGTCAAAATAGCAATTGGAAGGAAAAACCACAGGTATTTACATCACCAGGAACCCACTGAACAAGTGGGTGTCCTGTAGCCCTGTTTTGCAATTAGAAAGAAAAATAACCTACACCCTCATCTCCTAGGGAATGCATCTTATGAAAATTTTCATTTGTATTGAAAATACTGACAGTGTCACCTCTTTACATTTAAGGAATTACGTGGCTAAATGTGATATTTTAGTTAAGTCTTTAATCATCAGCATAAATGTTTTCAATGTTTATTTTCGCCTCTTCGGTGATAATTTTATCTTTTTTAGGTGGCAGAAATGTACACTAGCTTTCTACAACTAATGACCAGGGTTCACTTCTCTTAGGTTTTAAAAGTTCTTAAAATATACAAGAATTCAGAAAGAAAGCACATCCTTAACCATGTAATGCAATACATTGAAACGATGCGTGATATGCTAGTCTAGAATACTTTCTATAAATACATTGTAAAGAGCTGAAAAGTTCATCAGTACAAATATAAATATATAAACATAGATAGTTACGTTGTTAGGTCATAGATGTTAATAAACATATTTTTCCTGTAAGTACAGAAAAAAGAACTAAAACAATGCATTTAATCAATTTAACCAAATATTTAACTTCCATTTCAACAATACTTTTTAAAAATGCTGCATAAAGATTTTAAAAAGTTCACCACAGTTACTTTTTATTTTCTTTTTCTCACCAAACAATCTCTCAGCTTGATCAAAGTTTTATTAGTTTGTAGCAGAGTTCAGGACAATTATTGAAAACCATACCTTTTAATCCAGGGATTTGCCACAGGAGCCCTCAAAGCTGAGATGTAATTACACTAAATATTCAGCCCAAGCAAAAGAGTTTGCAGGTGTGGAAAGGAGGAGGGGGTAGGTGCTGCTCTGTGCCTGTCACTAGGTTGAAAATCTCCTGCTTCTACTCCATAGCCCAGATAAAAAATAAGGTTTCCCTCAATGAACACTACCCGGCTGACACCCACATTAGATCATATGGTAATGATATGTCTCTTGTATTGTAGCCAGAATCTTTATTGGCCTTTTTTTCTCCTCATTTGCTTTATTCCTTTTACATCTGCTTAAGATTCTAAACTGCTTATATAGTATAGTGAAGAAACTTGACTTAAAATTTGCTTTATTGTGTCGATTCATTTCCCAAAATATTCTAACTAAAGGGTTTGTTTCCCCACCCCCATCCCGCTCCACTACCCACCCTTTCTAGTCTTGTTTACAAGGAACATTTATTATATTTCTGAAAGCACAGTTTTTCTTGCTTTCGGGATGGGTAAGTCCTGCAAATGGAATGAAATGAATCTTGTAGCTATTTTAAATGTGGTCTGTGAAAATAAATGAGTAACCTGATGTGAAAATACTCATTCGGATACTTACTTGCCTTAGGCTGTTTGTGCAAATTCAAGTCCTATGCTGTGCAGGTTTCCTATATATTTCGAATGTGTTTCTAGTGTCCTGGAAGAACGCCAGGGTTTTATAGGAAAAGCACATCATTTATTACTTTTATTACTCACAGTTTAAAATCTTTCTTGTTGTCTACCAGGTTTTTTTTTTTAATAAAGCACACAGATACTAGAAGTTGGTCACAATTAAATTCAGCCTGCATATGAAAACATTTATTTCATAGACTATACTTTTATGTAATCTAGGACTCTCAAGAGGCAAAGTCTATGGCTCTTTCCAAATTTTAGTAATAAAAAAAAGACAATGCAAGTACAAGGAAAATCATCTATTTAGCTGCTGGAAGGCTTTTTTTTTTTGAGTTTGTGTAATTCCCTTGCTGGACGCTGTTAGTTCTGTCTGTGTGTCTCTCTGTTTTGACTTGCATCTTTATGCTCTGGCCCCCAGGGCTATTACCAGGTGGAAACTTGAAATCAACATCTGTGAAACATGATAGGATCCCTCTCCATTCATCCCCCTCCCTCTTTCCGTCCTCCAGCCTGCTGAGGGTATAATTCCACAGCAAACACTCTTTTGCCTTGATGGAACTTCAAGGAATTAAATTCTTGACCGGGTAACTAAAGGAGGGGAAAGGTTGCTATCAAATTATATTTTACCTTATTTCCCAAGCCCCGCCTCCCTAATTTTAGCACCTTACCCCACTCCTCTTTTCCTTGATATTTAATAACCTTAAACCCAGTAATTCTGATGGTTTAGAAAAAGGCAAGTATTCTTTTCTCCTAAACAATGGTGCAAATGATCCCCTTACCTGGATTAATTTTTCCTCTGATATTCTTTTGCATGGCATTTATCTCTTTCTTAAGACATTCAGCCTCTTCTTCTTATTATTATAGCTTTTATAATAAGAAGGGAGGAAGCACAGTGTTTTCATATTTATAACGTCTCTGCACCTAGCACAGTCATGGTATATAATAAATTCTCAAGAGACACTTGAATGATTCCATAAAGACATTAATAGCATTGGTTATGGACGACACCATGATTATTATGTTGCCCAGTCCTGCCCTGCTAGTCTGGCTCAGTTGGTTGGAGCTTTGTCCCATAACCCAAAGGTCACAGGTTCAAGTCCCAGTCAGGGCACAGGCCTTCACTGAGGGTTCAGTCCCTATTCGGGGTCTATAAGGCAGGCAACCAAACAATGTTTCTCTCACATCCCTCTCTGTCTCTGTGTCTGTCTTTCTGTCTCTATGGAATCGAAGACAAACAAACAAATAAAAACAAACCCTACTAAATTATAACTCAAAAATAACAGCAATAACTGTTGAAAGAGAGTGAGAAGAGAGGGATAGGAATATTAAAATGCAGTAGAAAGAGGACAACAGAAGGGGAATAAGACATAACTTCATGTGTGTCTTCTCTCTCACCTTTTTTCACTTTTATGCTGCAGAAGGAATACTATCCTTCCCCCTGACAGTAATCTGTGTGAACTCAGAGAGCTTACATAACCACTCTGAATCTCAGCGTTCATATTTGTACAACAAGAAGAAATTATTACCTAATTCATAATGTTGGAGTGAGGAAGCAGTGAGGCAATATACATAAAGCACATTAATTCAAAGCATGACCCCGTAAGGGGAACTCTTTTTAAATGAGCAAGAGAAGTCCTATGTACTACTATCATTTGACAGATGAGAAAACTGAACTCCAATGGTCTGCCCAAGTTCACCTAGCTGGTAAGAAGCACAACAGAAACTGCTATTCAGGTCTTCCAGTTCCCCATTACCACACTGCATTTTAATAAAGATCAAACTCTGAACACAGAAGCTTAACTATCAAAATTCTTGGGTAGCATGTTTTTGTAGAGCATTTTAAAAACTGTGACAGAATTTTAATTGTCTGTAAACTCTATATTTGTATAGGACCAAATATTTCCTTTTAAAAAACTGTAGTAAGACCCTCACCTCCAAAACCCCAACAATTTGGTCAAACATGATTTTATATGAAGTCTTTACATTCAATCAGATGTTAAATTGCATTTATGGTCATGCTTGCTTTTAGATAGAAGAAACTAAGTCACAACAAAATCATATGCAATTAAGCCACAGAGAAACGTTGGGGGCTGTGGTCAGAATCCAGGTCGCTTTCAGTCTAATGGGAAATGGAACGATTTTGAGGCTGGAAGCAGGGCTTGTACAGAGAGGACTGAAACTTATCCTTGTTTGGAATGTGTGGGGGTAGGGTTCACAGAAAGCTTGGCTGCTGTATAGATATTTGAAATATTCAAATGCAGAGCACATACCACAACTGCTGTTTAAACCACTTAAACCGTGATTTCTACTGACAACCCACTAGTTAACAGGGTGACTACATTCTGCATGCTGTCGAAGTTCATTGCAAGGCTAGTCACTCTTCCCCAGTGACATCCAGTACAAGTGATTCAAACTCTACCTGCATATTAAGGATGTGAAGAATGCCAGAGCCTAGAAGGCTCTCCTTATGACATCCTTTTATTTTCTAAGTGGTCTGGAAGCAAGTGATTATCTTCACAAACCGGATGTGACTGGTTTATTCTTAGACTGACTCTTCAAAGTCAGGTCAGCGGCTGCAGTGGGTTGTCTGGCTCTTCTTTTCCCCATCCTGGACAGATTTTCTCCTTTAGCCAAGAAAGAATGCTAGTGGGGGAATTCAGGGCAGCCTTGCATGTGGGACTGCTTGAGGCCAAATGTGGTAGCGGGAAACTATTACCTTGGTTATCTCCTTTCTTTCCCCACCTGACTCCATTCCCCTCACCCATCACCACTGTGTTCAGCGTAACCCTTCTTTTCCTCAGGTTTTTAATCCATAAAATGTGGATAACCATAATACTACCCACTACAGGTCTGTGGTGAGTTTTAAAACAGGTTAATACATAAAGCATTCAGAGCTGTACCTGACACAACTCAAACAATACATGAGTGTTCTCACTTCTGCTGCTGCCACTCCTGCGGTGGTTGTTAACAAGCCGTTCCTCAGATGCAACAGTCCAATAGTCAGACTGCATCCTTTTCCTGGCCCAAGGTGTTTTCTGCAGAGAGATCACCTCAAACCACAATGTAACTGGAAAAACAAGGACTTCATAGTTAGGTAAGCTTGGGTTTAAACTCATACTTTGTACTTGTTAAGTAACTGTCTGGCTTTTTTCATGCATAACATTTTACTGGGTTCCAAGTAAATCCTGCTGAAATTCACTCATGGACTTTACAAAAATCCAGAGGCTCCAAGGCAAAGAATCTCTACTCTGAGTGATGAAGCAGAAAGAGTAATAGAGACAAGGACGGGGTAAGTTATACACTTAGATGGGGAAAAGATATGGAGATGTGTACCTCTCTTTTACTCAAAAAGTATTCAATTTCTTGATTGCATGACTCTTCTTGAATATTCAGGAGCATCTCTTTTGTCAGTTTCAGTCAGAAGACTTATTATTCTTTCTACAATATGGATTAGTCAATTTGCACTGGGACAATAAGCCACCAGTTATTGAATATTTAGTAGTGTGTGCAAGGCACACACCTCTCTCTTAAATATACGGAAACTTCCAGTAATCTATCAAACAATTAATCAATCAGCATATATTTACTGAGGGATAGCTGTGGGAGAAAAAGTCAATAGTAGGCCCTGAGGAGGATACAAAGAAACAAAAATTATGAAGTGAAAAACATGCCCATGAATACTCAGACTGGAGTAAGGAGATAGGGCATAAGCTATATATTTGTGTGTGTATGTGTGTGTGTGTATAAATAAATAAATAAATATAAAATGCATTACACATGTGTATCCCCTCACATACATATTTAGAGTAGTTATACTAGAAAACCTACAATGTATTAAATAATTATAATTCCTGGCAAAAGCAAAATATGTTGTACTTAAAAATAATTATCCTAGAAAAAAATAATTATCCTAGCAAGTCAGAGGAGGGATCGGGAGAAATCGCATTACACAAGGGTGGTTTAGGTGAGTATTTGTTGAGAACAAAGTACAGTTTGGGCTGAATTCTGAGTGATAAAAAGAATGTGAAAGGAGAAAGCTCTGCAGGCTGGTGAAACATTTCTATCAAAACCTTGACAACAGGATAACCAGAGAATAAATGAAGCAGTGCAGCCTAAGTGGACACTGTCTTTCAAGGAAGCCATGAGCACTTTTTATCATTCTTGAATATTCAACAACAGGCATGGTGTCTGATGTATGGGAGTCACACAGTAAATGGAGATCCAAGTCTGTGGGAAAAGCTAAAGAGTGATAAGGAAAGAAATGAGGGGAGATCCCGACTATGGGAGGTCTTGAAAGTCTCTGGTGGAGCGCATATTTATTCATTGACTTATTCAGCAAATCTTCATCTGGCAATTAATATATGCCAATTCCTGTGCAAGTAGCTTATATTATGATAGGTACTTGAATGAGGTAATAATATGATAAAAGTTTCATTTTCGCAAATCAAATCTAGCAAGTACATACAGGGGGTGACACTAGAATCAAGGGAACTAATTAGCAGGCTATTACTTTCATCTTCGTGTGTTAATACTATCTTAGTAACAAGAGATAAGCATGGTAAGTATTG